TCCCATGGATGAGATGCCTCCCTTGGATACTCTCTCTTCAACCAATTGCTCTGTACACCCACCCCCTAGTACAGGGATTGAACCCAAGGCCTTCACACTTAGCTTCATCCTCAGCTCTTTTTCATTTTTTAAAATTTGAGGAAGGGTCTCACTAAGTCAGTGAGTTTCCCACTCTAGGCTTCAACTTAGGATCTTCTTGATTTAGCCTCCCAAAGGGCTGGAATTACAAACGTGTGCTACCATGTCTGGCTTCAATTATTTTGTGAGTCAATCCACCTCTGGAAAATAAGTTTCTCCCACTTATGACTACATAAATGTTGACAACCTCTTGTGTTTTCACAAATATATCAAGGTTTTCATTGCCAAAAATCAAAGCAAGTATTTACTAATAGTCATAGTACAAATATAATAAAGACACGGGACTTATACACTCCTGGTTGCTATGGATCTTTATTAACTTAGTAATAATTTATTGCCCGTAATAACAAAAGAGGAAGCTTTTTATATCTTTAACCTATCAATGTCACAGACATATTTCTTCATTTATTGGTGCTAGTAAGCATTAATAGCATATTTCCACTTGATACTTGTAGTACTTATGTTATCCTAGATCCAGTTTTTGTGCCTGGATTTAAATTAAATTTGGATATGCTCAGTTGTTCTGGTCACAAATGCACTATAAAGGCATAATGTAATAACATCCTATTTTTATGCACATATATTTAATAATTTCAAGTATTTATAATTATAGAATATAAACCATAAGTATTTGCTTCTTCCATTATTATTTAATCATGTTCCTTATGAGGAAGAAGGAATGTGACACTCTAGTCTAAGGCAATCCTCTTAAAGAAACCTTTTTGTTGACACAATAAAATAATTTTGGAAGAACGTTCTCATTTCAACTGACAACTCAATTGTTGTAAAGCATGTCATTTTTGACAAATTTTTAATGTTGACATTTTAAACTGTAACTGTTACAGCATTCCTTTAAGTGTTTCAATGACATAAACAGATGAATTAATTCCTGTCACATTCATTAAAACAACTGAATGAATTCTTCTTAACAGATAGAAATTCTACTTTCCTTCTCCCCTTGAAACTATTTTCCATTCACTACCAAGGGTTCCCTCACAGAATTTTATTCTGTTGAAGTATGTTTTTACATTAAAAGTAACTTAAAATAATTCTTTGAAAGAAAGTGAATAAAACTCATGATACATGAAGAGTAGAGATCAAAGGCAGAGTAGATCCAGAAGAATAAAGATGTAGCTCATTGGTTCAGCAGTGACATTTTAAAATCTGTGATATTGTGATGTATACATTTTCCTTTGCAGTTTGCATTGCTACTATATAAACTTCTTCTAATCTCTTATAAAAATGTTTGCTCTGTTTTAAAACCTCTTTGGAATGAAATATCTACATACATTTAAAATTCTTTTCTGTCCAAATGGTCAGAGATGAATGTTTTACAAAAATCTTCCCAGATTTTTTTATCATTTTAATTTTTATTAAAAATAATGGTAATAGTGCTGGTAATAACAGTAGCTATCCCTTTTGGAAGGCTTTCTAAATTCTTGGCATCAGTCTAAGGATTAATTAATTACTTGTACTTCTACTCCTTCTATTTGTGTAGAGTGTAGCCACCAAGACTAGAAGTGCAAATGGCACATAATAAATGATTCACTGATATAATGCATAAAAATAAGACTAACTTTTCAGGCTCATGATTACATTATAAAAACATAAGGTATTATGATTAACTAAAGTTTACTTATGAGGAAATGGAGATGGTAGATTTATTGCCTTAAGCAAGTAATTAAAAAGCTGTCATTTTAAAAGTAAACCAGGCAGCTTGGCTCTAAAATGTAATAAAGTTGGTACTGGTTTTGACACATACTTTACCTTAAACATAAGTAAAATTTTATTATTAGCAGTGCATCATTTAATGAGATGAAAAAGGCATGTTACTACAAGGTTTTAAAGAGGACTTGTTCTATGCTTCTAGATCGACATCAACCAAACTGGAATCTATTTACGTGACAAGTCTAGGTCAAAAGTTTAGGAAGCAGGAGAGAGGTGACACAAACCAGGTCCTAGTGGCTGCTCAGGGCCTGCATACCAGAGTGCCCAAGCTCCTTGCTTCCCCTGACCCTTTTACCAGATGAACTACAAGTGGCCAAATTACTGACAACTTGGACCAGACCCAAAGAAAACCACTTCTAGGTGTTCTCTTTAAGAACAACAGCACAAAGTTAAAACTATCAAGTTGAACTGAGGGCTTTGGAAATGTTTTATGTAAGCTACAGTACTCTGCCCGTTATTTCATATTTACCTTATTTGTCAATGTTCTAGCCAAACAAACATCCACTTCTGATTCTCTCACATCTTCATATGGTTCGCTGGCTACTGGAAGTCTTATTCAACCTCCAAAGGCTGGCTAGGCACTTGTGCCAACATATAAAGATTTTTGAAGAAATATGCAGCTCTTTTATAGATAAAAATAATTCTAAAGAAATGTTTGTACTCATAGATGCAAAACTAAAATCTAGAAAGATGCTAACTGTCCTGAAAATATTTTAGAAATATAACACAAAGTAAGGCATAAGTAAAGAGTTCAACTTAACGAATAACAAAATTAATGGAGCCAATAATCTAAATAATTTTAATATAATTTAGTAAATACATTTACTTGAATTTCAAGTCAATAAGGGAAAGGATGAAATTTCTAACGATATAACCATCCTTAGTTTGGGGGAATAGTATATCAAGGTTCCATTTAAATTTGAATAAGATTTAAATGTGAAATAGACCTATTCATAATTAGAAATTTATTAGAAAGTTTTATCTTTACTATTTTAGAGTCAGAAAGAACATTCAGCAAGTTTACTAAACTTCAGTGATAAATAGAAATAAATTCCTGCTTGGTCAGAATTCAATCTAACCAGAGACATTCTTCTATTTTTTTTTTTTTTAAATTTTGTTTTGTTTTGTTTTCTGGCTCTTAGCCATCTGTCAAATTTGAGAATTGGCTGAATGATTATGTAACTAAAGCAATGCAAAAATATTCAACACTAGATGAATTAAGCTATTACAAATCAGGTCTTTTGTTCGAAAGAATTTCAGATGCTATTTTATTTCCAGGTGGAATCTTTTCTTCAGAGCAGTGTCAGACATTCCAGACTCTAGAATCTGGAAGGGATCTGAGAAAACTTACAGTACAATTGGTCAATTTTACGGACTTACAAATAAGGAGTTAAGGAGACTTTAATGGATCATCTTATGGAGGAATTCCATGTCAGTGGTAGAGGAGCTGAGAGTAGGAATCCCACTCTTGTCCATCTCACGTTTGTACTCCTTTCAATTAAGTAAACCACATGTGATTCAAACTACTAGAAAACAAGCGGATCTCACTTTTCAGATATATTTTTCATCTCTCAAGGGGTGATTTTTCCAGCCTCTTTCAATTTAGAGTTTAACTTATTTTCCCTTTAAATTCGTTAGAAATATAATTGGAAAAGAGAACTACAAAGGCAGCAATTAACTTTTCACAAAACAACGCATCAATGCTAATCGAGAGAAAGCAGTTCAGATCTGGACCTTGCATTTCTGAGTCGCTTCCAGTTCATCTCCTTTGAGTTGTCCAATATGTTATAGCCCATACCCGGGGCCATATTCTAAAACATGGCCACTCTCTCAGTTTCCGTGACAGGTACACAGTGGGAGGTCAAAAGCAGTCTTTTTCACAGTAAATGAATTTTCCTCCATTGTATGCTGTCTCCTATGTATCTTCACTAAGCAGGTCTGGGACCTTACAAAAGTGACTGAGGCTACATCACACACACACAAAGTTCAGGAAGAAAAATCCAGCTGTCAGATACAAATAGGCATTTTGAGCACTCAGACCTTGCTCTACGGAATAGTGAGTCATATGAAATGTAACGTGCAAAGGAAGCTGACACATACGAAGGGGGACAACAATGATGAGTTTCCAGAGGCTTTCTGGGACAAAGAACAATCGCAGAGTGCCTATTTTTGGGTCGAGCGGCATGACTTTGGAATTTAAAAGTCACAGTGTGAGTACAGAGTAAAAAATTGTGTCACAGAGTTTTGAATGTAAGACAAATAGCTTAGTAGACTTTATTTTCATTAGTATTATTGCTGTTTAAGAGGAAGATAAGTTATTGTACTGTTGAGCACTTTTAAGTCTAACAATAGCTTAGGGCAGGAACTCTCATTTTGTACGGAAGACGGCTATGCAGTATAATAAAACCGCACCGTTAATATGGTGCTCATCAGGACACTGAATGCCAAATATAACTAAGAAGAAATATCTGTTCTCAGTACTTTCCGGAAACACTAAAGCCCCTAAAACATTGTTAAGGTCTGTGATTGAGACTGAAATGGTTTTGCTAGGGTGTCCTAAAAACAGTATCTAGAGTAGATTAAATTTTTAAAACAATTCACCCTCCCATTTTCCTGTTTCCCTATTTATAAACAAGGTATCACCTTGTATTCCGATTATGAGAAAAATTTGTACCCGTTTGTAGAAGTGTAATAGTGACTCTGTGTATTTAGTAAAACAAATAACCTAGATCTATGTTTAGAGTATTAAACATAATTATATGTATATATGTGTATATATCTTATATATTTGCATGATGTCTATGGCAATGTCACTCACTTACCAGTGTTACTAAACTAGGTAGTATATATTCCAGATAGTTTAATACTACTAGTAAAAACATGGGGTTAGTTAATTCTACTCCCCAAGGGCCCAGGGAAATGATTTTGAAAGTCTGACATATATCCATAATTCCATTATTATTATTTTGTTGGGTAGACTTTCAAGATTTCCTTCATTCAGAAGGTAATGACATACCATTCATGGAAATTTTTCTTACTCTCATTGAAATGTTCTAAATATCTTTGACTTTATTGGAAATCCAACATAGTACTTTCATTAGATTATGAATATTCTTTTGTAAGGTATGCAATACCTGAAAGTAGGGCCATCCAAAGTTTTGACAGGTGGCAGCAAAAGTGGTTGATGTATCATCGTAGGGCCCTGGATGACAAGAGAACATTCTGTGAATTTGTTAATATTATTAGTGGATAGTGGAATTTTACAGAATTTAACTTAAAAGTGTATACCAGTGTATGTCTCTCTGTTAACATCATAAACATGTATTTTAAATGGTGCATTTGAATTGGAGACAAGGAGAAAAAAAGTCAGGCACATTTAGGCTACCATCAAGATAGCCTGGCATCATATGCCCTAAGAATGGGCATGCTAATGGGCACAGGCAGGGAAGTAGTTCTTGTCTATTGCTTGAAATGGTAGCACAAGCAGACATGGAATCTATGGAGACCTGGTTTTGTCAATGTACTGGGGACACATCAGTCCCTGAACTCATGGAGCTTATGTTGCCAGGAGAAAACAAACAATAAACAAGTATATAGAAGTCCAGTGGCAATAAGTATTGCAAAGAAAAATAAGCAGGCTAAATAAGCATAAGAAGAAAGGTAAGGCATTGATGTCATAGAATGCAGCAGCCCCCCTACGAAGGTGACATTTGAACAGTGATCCGACAGAAAGAACATATCATGTGGTATTCAGAAGAAAGGGTATTCCTGGAAAGGATGACTTCAGCAATGGTTGGGAGGCAGGAATGACTCCCAAAGTATGAACAGAAGAGGAAAACTGGTGATCAAATACGTGACCAAAGAGGGAACCACAGGACTGATGGTATTAGAAATAAGCCTTAGCTTGCCCTACAAACAAGATGTAGTAACACGTTAAATTCATCTGCTGCTAAACAAAGACTGAACGGGTATGAAGGTGGTCTGCATATATCTTTGCAGGTTCAAATTAATGTGGAAAGAAACAGCTATAATACAGTTAACCTTGCTTTGCTTGTTTATGGTATTTGGACTTAAAGAATTTCAGAAGTGTCAAACTTGTGTTTTGCGAATTATTTATCTCAATTAACTCATCCTATGATTTGAAAAGCTTATAACTGACCTAAACTTAACAAAGCATTAATTTGCTTTTGTTCTTTATAATAGTCTGAATCACTGCCAAGGATTTCTTCAAAGGCAGCAGGATTATTTACGTGAACAGTCAAAAGGATTGCTATTTTAATTGACATAATTATGAAATCGTATAATATTTGTGGATCAAAGAACATTTTAATGACCTTGTGAAATTACTTTGTAAATATTTACACCTTCACACATTTTAATAATTCATTATAAACTATCATATGCTATAATTAGGATCATGATCTAGTCATATAAAATGTACAAATACGTTAGCAGAAACTCTATGGATTTAGAATCTAGATTTTTCCAAAAACTATTCTGAAAAAATAAAAGCTCTTTTCAGCCTCAGGCTTTATTGGCATACAAATGGAATTTGGTAGGTTCAAAGTTGAAGTTTATTTTCAGTATCTGTACAACTTGTCAGAAAATGTCAGTATAAATAGAAATAACTGAAGAATATTATTGTTTTTACTGCTTGGTTCTAGAAATTTTACTCTTGTCCCAACCAGAAATGCTATGGAAGAACCTTTCCACCCTTTTGGTGTTTTGGACATATACACAGTATCAGCAAATTTATTGAATAGTTGATTTTGGCTACCAAATGTGTTACATATATTAAGAAAATTGCAATGTGTATTGACATGTACCTGCTACTACTTTTTTTTTGGAAAGAATTAATATATGTAGCATCAAATTCTGTAGTAAAATAGATTGACAACCAGTAAGAGAGAATTCAAAGAAATATTACAAAAACACAAAGAAGACAATAAAGATGCTTGGAGAATTAGTAATTTTATTTAAATAGCACCACTGGGTAAAGTGATTGGACGATAAATCTAAAATCAACTAAATCCTGACAACACAGAAAAGAAATATAGTAAATAAGAATAATAGAACTATCTTCTCCATACAGTGTTGCCATAGTGAAGCAGATAATTAAGCTAAAGAAAAGAAACTTGCCTACCTATATTTGTTAAAGGAAAATCAAAAGCTTGAAGAAATATACTAGTTAAATTGAACGGATAGGTATAATATCAGTTCAGTTGACTGAAATTGAGAAATGGTGTGAAACAAATTCCAGTGCCTTCTATAATGTTTTAAAGCATAAGAAATAATTTTTACAACACTAGGAAGTAGCAAAATCATATCCAGGACATCTGTAATTAGGCTCCACAAACTATTTTAAATATTTAGTAGATTTAAAAAAGACAGACAGACATGCGCACACACACACACACACACGCTGGAATGGAATTATTCACTTTTCTTCCTCCCTTTATCTTTTAAAGGAGATTTTGACAGCTACTTGATGGACCTTTTGAATAAAGGGAAATGGAAAGTTAGGGCCCTATTTGTAGGCACCGTCCCTCTGTATTTTTATTCATGATGAGAAATGCTATTCATATCTTTGCAATTTTCAAAATAATAAAATATTTTTTCCTTATTCTGGACCACCTAACAAAAGAGACAGGCTTTCTCTTAAATAATTATAAAAAGCAGTGGCTTAACCATAATTCTACAGCATCAAGTTATTGCTGCCCTATTCGAAACAAATGTTTTAGAGGAAATTTTCATTGTTTAACATATAAATTCATTGTAATTCATAATTAGGGAAATGCAAATTAAAACCACAATGAGATACTATGTTACACCCATCAGACTGGCAACAATTAGAAAAGTTTGACAATAATACGGTCTTGAAAAGGATGTGGTGCAATGGAAACCTCATGTACTGTTGGTGGGACTAAAAATTGGTACAAGCACCATGGATTGCTGGGATCCTGAAATCCCTCTCAGAAATACATTCCGCAGAGGTACGCACACATATGCCTACCAGGAGAAGGTAGGGAAAATGTTTATTGCTTGGTTGTTTCTGATAGCCGAATGATGGAAGCAATCCAAATAGCCCTCAGCAGAAGAAAGGATAATTACATTCTGATATATTCATGCACTGGAGCGCTGACTGCAGCTCGAAAGGAAGGAACCAGAGCCACACACATTAGTAGTGGCACAGCTCAAAACCACAATGCTCAGAGAAAGAAGAAAGTCTCCAACAAATATGTTCATGATGATTCCATTTGCATAAAAGTAAAAACAGAAACAGTAAATCTCAATAATATATTGCTCAGAATCACATACAAATGTGTGGCAAAGCCATAAAGTAGAGAAAGGGAAGGACCAGAACAAGTTTAGGAAATGGTTTATTTCTGGGAATATGTCTGTGTTGATGAGGGCAGAAGATGATGAATAAGTTGGATTCTAAGCAAATAGATGTTCAAGTATATTTGTGTTATGCTCTATCTACCTATCCCTCCATTTATCTGTCATGTATCTAGCATCTATGTATTTATCTAATCTATCTGTTTGTCATACATCTTTGTTTCTTAGATTTAAGATTAAATAAATTTTATGCAATAGTGTGCAGGATATGAACACTTACTGTAGAATGATGTTGGTTTTGAATCCATGAATCCAAGCATATTAAAATGCAAAGTATTTGTGATGGATCAGGGCATTTAGGTGGGTGGGAGATTGAGCTGCCTTACACAATATTGGTTGAACTTAGAAGTTATTTCTTTTTGTACTAAAGTAAGAACTCGTATAAGATTTCACAGCTCTATAAGATGAGTAATTTGTGCACTTAGAATTTCACAGATATAATGTAGGTGGGTAAATCATATTTTAGTTTTGCTCACTTCCCTAGTTATTTGGATGGAATTTTATACCAGGAATGCCAAACCCTTAATCATATATACATGCGATCGTATATACAGTGATGTCAAAACACTTGATCATATATACACAAATATACATGCATGTATTTGTGCATGTGTGGGGGTGGCTATTTGCGTGTATGTGTATATGCTCTCCTGAGTCTGTACATTTGTATTTTGGATTATTATAAAATTCTTCAGACTTTCAGATTAGAATGATACAGAGAGGGCAAAGGCACCCCGTAATCATAAATCTAGTAATTCTCAACTAAGAATGAAAAGAGAAGTATTATTTATATCTTTTTATTTATGAGTAGTTCCACGTGAGTAAATACTTAATGCTTAGTTATTTAGAGAGACAATCACTTGATTGAAAAACATGCCACATTCTCTCTTTTATTTTGTTACTATGCCTAGCAAGCTCAGGGTCCTGAATTTGATTCCCAGTACCAAAAAAAAAAAAAAAAAAGAAAGCCTCTTATTATGTTATTATACATTTGAGCCTGATACACGAATGTGTCAGTCTTACTCTCACAAGCTCCAGAAAGCCCATCTGGAGAGAGTGAGGCACTGCAGTAGGTGAGACTCCGGGGTCTTCCTCTGAGTTATCGCCCTGACCATTTGGGTGCAGCCATGAGCACGGAAGGTAGTGATCACTGCCCAGAGGTGATGCTTGTGTCTCACTGTCTTTACACTTCTCCACTGTTGTCACGAAAAGCTAGCTTTCAGATTAAGTCTCAATCCTATTCCCCAACCAAAAGAACAGCGACAACTTTTGTAATGCAAATTTTAGATAAAACAGCTGAAAGACACTTACATGTCAACCCTAAATGCTACCTCTGTGGCTACCCTTTGCCCATGGTCATGTACCCAGAGTCTCCTTATCTTAAGAGAGGGGATTCAGCAGTGGACTTTTATTTCCTAGCTATTCTGGCAAATAATAGGTTTTACCGGATCAATTTATCTTCCTTTCTAGCCTAGTTTTGGCCTCTCTTGCCCTCTTCCGTTCTGTTCAGCCCTCTTTCCTTCTCTTGTTTCTTTATTTTCTAATTCTATGCTTGTTTTATTTGTTGTTGTTTTGTTTTTCTCCGGTACCGGGAACCGAACTCACGACCTTGCGCTTGCCAGGCAGGCACTTTTGCCGCTGAGCTAAATCCCCAGACCTCTAATTCTATGCTTGACATTAGTTTTATATCAGGCTTTTCATTTAGTCATTAATAATTACTAAGTTAACTTTATTCCTATCATCATATCTTTCTATTCTTTAGATGAGAATTCCTAGGAGACTTTTTCTGTCTTAGATTTTGAT